TTCAGTGCCACACTCGGGTTCCGTCTCTCTCCCGTCTCTCTCTCTCTCTCCTCTCTCTCTTTCTCCTTCCTTCCTCCTCTCTCTACTCTTCTCTCTCGTCAATCCTCTCTCAGCTAAGGGATTCAGCAATATCGTAACTTTAAGAATAACGTTGATAAAAAAATCATTAGTTCTCCCTCAGTTCTCTCCCTTTTTATCTATTTCACCTCGTTTCCTCGTATCTCCTATTTTTTCTTCTCTCCCCCATCTTCCTCTCTCCCTTCCTATCGTTCGAGTCTCAGCATAGAAACGATTTTCGCTAATTGATTCACCGTTCACGATAATGATGTATTAATAACATGCCTTATTACCTCTTCCTATTTTCCGTGATAGCCAACCCGTGTTCACTTTGTCAATCATTGTGTCAATATAAGAAAAAAAGTTATATATAAAAAAGGGGGAAAATATTAACAATAACGTGGATCTCAATAAAAAAAAGTTAAACACGAAAAAAGGAAAATAAAGATTATAAATGACGTGGAACACCTCCCCCCCCCCCCAAAAAAAAAGATAGTATATATATATATATATATATATATTATATAATATATAATATATATATATATATATTAAAGGGAAAATACAAATTACATAACGTGGACTCCCATATTCCTGCGTTTGATGGAGGAGGCGGAGAGAGTTGAGAATAAATTACATATGTGTAATATTAAGCGGAAAGTGCGATTAACGAGAGCGCAGAGAGAGGGAACAGATGTTGGTTTGGTTTGGTTTTTTTTATCTATCTATTTATCTATCTATCATGCTCTCTCTTTCCCTCTGTGTCTATCTACTGAGAAGAAAACACAGATGTTGGCTTGGAATTGCTTATTTCTCTCCTCTCCTTCTTTCTTCTCTCTCTCTCTCTGTCCTCTGTCTGTCTGTCTGTCTGTCTCCTCTCGTCTCTCCTCTCTCTCTCTCTCTCTTCTCTCTCTCTCTCTCTCTTCTCTCTCCCCTCTCCTCTCCCTCTCTCTCTCTCTCTTCCCCTCTCTCTCTCCCTCTCCCTTCCTCTCCCTTCCCTCTCCGCCTCTCCCTTCTCCTCTCCCCTCTCCCTCTCCCTCTCCCTCCTCTCCCCTCCCTCTCCCTGCCTCCCTCCTTTCTCCTCCTCCTCCTCCTCCTCCTCCCCTCCCTCCTTTTCTCCTTTTCCTCCTCCTCCTCCCTCCCCCCTCCTTTCCTCCCTCCCTCCTTTTCCTCCCTCCCTCCTTTCCTCCTCCCTCCCTTTCCTCCCTTTCCTCCCTCCTCCTTTCCTCCCTCCCTCCTTTCCTCCTTTCCTCCCTCCTCCTTTCCTCCCTCCCTCCTTTCTCCCTCCTCCTTCCTCCTTCCCTCCTTTCCTCCCTCCTCCCTCCTTTCCTCCCTCTCCTCCCCCTCCTCCTTTCCTCCCTTTCTCCCTCCCTCCTTTCCCTCCTCCCTCCCTCCTTCCTCCCTCCCTCTCCCCTCCTTTTTCCTCCCTCCTCCTTTCCTCCCTCCCTCCTTTCTCCTCCTTTCCTCCTTCCCCTCCTTTCCTCCTTCCCTCCTTTCCTCCCTCTCTCCTTCCCTCCTCCCCCCTCCCTCCTTCCTTTATTTCAGTCTTAAAAATCGAAGATGTTGATTAATTGATACTTGTCTGGGATTTTCCTTCCTCCTCTGTTTTATTGTTGTGCTGTTGTGTGTAGTTGTGTGTATATGCTTGTATTAGTGTTTTTTGTGTATGTAAAGATGCTTGGACGGACTCTGAATTTTTTCGTGTATCTAACCTCTGAATATATATATATATATATATATATATATATATATATATTATATATATATTATATTTATATATATATACATGTATATGTATGTATATATGTGCGTGTGTGTGCGCGCGCTTGCTTGTTCCTATTCCTGTACCTGCGCCGAGCGTGCGTGTGCATGTCCGTGTGCTTTCGTGCCAGCGTGTACATGAAGGCTCATCATTATCACGCGAATTACAACAGTATGGTCCAGTTAAACCCAACTCTTTCTTCATTTAATTATTATTTAATGGCTGAGGCGGGGAGGCAGGTGCGTGACTGGAGAGAAAGTTCCAGGAGAGAGAGAGAGAGAGAGAGAGAGAGAGAGAGAGAGAGCGAGAGAGAAGAGAGCAGAGAGGAGAGAGAGAGAGGAGAGAGAGAGGAGAGAGAAGAGAGAGAGAGAGAGAGAGAGGGGGAGAGAGAGAGATCGAAGGATTGTTCTGGAATTAATGGCGTTGATTAAATTCGTGAATTATGATTCATAGAGAGGGTGAGAAGAGCGAGAGAAAGAGCGCGATTAAGAGTGATGAGAGCGAGAAAGAGTTATCTTGGTACGAAAACGTGAGAGTAAGAGTGGTCAGAAAGATTAAGAGTGAGAGTCATACGACAGAACAGTGAGTGGCAAAGATTAAGAATAAGAGTGATTAAAGGCAATAAAAGAGTAAGTGGTGAGAGAGGGTAAGGCTGAGAGTGGTAAGAATATTAAGAGTGAGGGTGCTAAGGATTTGTAAGAGTGAGAGTGATCGAGAGACAAGAAAAACTCATTGGAGTCTTTGAGCAAGCTCTCACTATCTCACACCTTCCATTTGAGAACAGAAAGAGAACGACAGGCTACAGACAGACAAGGAGAGAGAGGGAGAGGGAGAAAAAGAGAAAGGAGAGGGAGAAAAAAGAAAGGGGAGGGAGAGGAGAGAGAGACAGACAGACAAAGACAACAGACAGACAAAAGTGAGAGGAGAGACAGACAGACAGACAGACAGACAGAACAGACAGACACCACATAAACAGAGAGAGAGAAGAAAAAGAAAGAAAGAAAGAGAAACACATAAACAGAGAAAGGGAAGAGAGAGGAAGAAAGAAGACACACACAGTCAAAGGCATATAGACAGACAGACAAACAGACACAGAGACAGAGGGAGAGAGAAGGAAAAGACAGCCAGAAAGAGACACAGATAAAGACAAATACAGAAAGACAGACGCAGAAACAGAGAGAAGAGAAAAAAGAAAAAGAAAGAAAGAAACACAGAGAAAGGCACGTAGACACACAAACAAAGAGAA